TGGGTTGCTTTCAAAGGGAACAACAGGGCAGATAGATCGATGTCCAATGAAAGCAACAACTTGCTCACTTACTGAATGGACTAGCCATTGGCAAAACCGTTTTGCTTTCCGCTAACATCTTCTTTCCAAAGCATGAGCTCAGGGGGTGAGTTGGCGCAAAATGTGTGGCTTCCCTGTAAAACGATCAAAACAAGTAGTGCCCTCAAAAGGGTGGGCTTTTCTGTTCCTTGCGCCCCTTGCTCCGGTTTCCCGCTCCAGAGTCCCTTCCCCCGAGGCGCGGCAGTCGTCGGCGCGGCAGTCCACAGAGGAAGAGCACTGACCCATTTGCCGACTCGCTCGGCAGCTTGGACAAAACAAATTGCATCTAGATAGACTTTCTTGGTCGCTTTCTGCTCCCATGTTGGTTTACGGCGAAGCCAAAGGGAAACACATCATCTTGGGTGGCCTCCTTATTTTGACACACCCACTTTAAGTTGGGGGTTGATTGAGAGGGGTGTAGAAGCTGGAATGCATTCAGTATGTGGGTTGGCTGCTTTTCCCGACAAAGAAGATGTCGCCAACTGATGAAGCCCATTGCTAGGCCCTTTGAAAGTAACCTTGGATTCTCTATTGGGGTTGCAACATTCCCCACCAGTCATTTTGGCTTCTGAATTCTGCCTGAACTGGTCGTGATGGTTGGCTGGCGTCTATGGCGGTATGACTTCTCATGGGGAGATCGCTGGGAGGATGCCGTTGGTGGGATTTATGCCACCGACCATTTTGGAGTTGGCGTTCCACACATCGCCCATACCCATGTCGGGCTGATAGGCTGTGTCCCTTGGCCCGCTGAGGCGCATGAAGCCATAAAGCTGGAAAACGGCACGGCTTCAAGGGCTATGATGAAATGATGTCTGCGTCCGGCCCCAAGGGGGGAAAAAACAACAAACAAAAAAGAAGCAACAAGAAGAACTCATGGAGCCTTGGTTAAGAGTCCCCCAACGTCAACGGGAGATCCCTGTAAGTGTGGTTCTTGATTCTATGCTGACTTGGGAATGCATGCGGAAGCCTAAAAATGGTGGGTTTTTGCTTGTGGCTTCCCCTTAACCCAAGCTGAAAAAAGGGCACCCTCAACAAAAGACACACGGACACATCCACACCCACATGGAACCCAACAAGGAAAGCACCTCGGCCAGAAGAAGATTCCTCCCATATTGCCCATAGGGATCCATGGTTCCGAACCAACAGGGTCATGTAAGTAAGTAGTAATAGTCCCCACACGGATTCTTGCAAGCGTTAGAATCCTTACTCTGAAAAGTAGTTGCGGGGTGTGAAAAAAAGGCGTTTTGAGCGGCAGCGCCAGTGGAGTTAAGCTTCCAAACGGTTTCCCGCCTGGAAATAAAGCCTTAAAGTAACCAAATCATTGTTTCTGTGAAATCACACTGAGGCTAAGGCCATTTGAGGCCCTTGAGTCCAAAGAAAAAGCTGTTTGACACACGGCGGAATATACGCCGTGGACCTAGTTAGGCCCGTGTGATTGGCTCGTTCGGGTTGCGTTGGGAGAAAACAGAAGGGGTTTCCCATCCATCAAATGGGCCTCCGCCATGGAAGCACACCTACAAGGTTGTGGGAATAATAGGGTTTTAGGGGTACAATGATTACACACATTATCCTACTATCATCCAGCAATTTGGTCTTAAAGTCCCGAGTCTGATAGTACTTAAATGAATACTTTCCAGGCCATTGCAGTAGTGGCCTCTTGGTCACGCGTCCATGGCCTTGTGACCTCCTCACCAAGACGCCGTGCCCCTCCCAACGTGTTTCTACATCTTGAGATCCAGATCTATTTTCAGAATGTCAAAAACGAGGGGCCGAAATGTTCGAACCGCAAGGGTGGAGCTCAAACCCGACACCTCGGGCGACCCATGCAAACGTTGGGATCCCCTACCGCGAAGGGGATGACTGATCCGGAGGCATCACCTTCGAGTTGGTCTCACTTGAGATGGGCCATATGGGCGGTTCTTCCCTTATTGGCGGATCCCAAAATGGATCACACTCGTGGTGTGCGTTTAAACTCACATGAAAAAGGGTACTAGTACCTCAAAGAAGACACACCCCTATGTGTCAAGTAGGGATTTGGACCCACACAAAATGTGGCTTTTGATGGTGTCCCTTTTACCCCAAGAAGGGTACCCTCAAATCACACTAAAGAAGTAGTCCCCAAAAGTCTGAGGTCGAGAACACCGAAGAAATCGGGAACCCACAAAATGCTTCTCAATTTGGAACCCTTTCGAACAACCAAGGCACGGGCGCAGGAAGAACATTGGCGAAATCGGTAGTTTGGCCATAGCATTCAGCGGCTGAATCATGTACAGTAGGCAAATTGCCCAGCACTCGAACACAAGGTTCGTATCAACCTCCTTGACACCCCAAATCGAGACACACACACCTGGCCAAGGTCATATTCAAGCTGGCTCAAGCGGGAGAACCTCTGAAGCAGGATGCCTCCACCGTGCTTCCCCCACAATCCGCCATCCCATCAGACATTGTTCAGCTGTTTGACCCCGCCCATTTTCGCCCACAGTTGGCTTCTTGGGCCTAGGGGCCTGGATGTAAATGTAACCTCTCGCAAGTGTTTGTTGTCCCGAGCACCCTTGCCGGCCGATATCACGCTGCCCTCATGCAGTGGTTGTCCAATATCTTGAAAGCATCTCCTGGTGAGGCGTGCCAATGTACTGTTCCTACAGGTTAAGGTGCCATTGCTGTCCATCCTTCTTTTGAGAAAATGCCAGATTTCCCGAAACAAGCTGGAAAGGATTTCTGGAAAGTGCAACTACGGCCACATGCCCTCAAGTCTAAATGCGCACAAGATAGCCCAAAACGTTCAGCAGGGACTTTTCGACATCATCCACCCAGCATCAGAATCTAGAAAAAAGCATGGTGCAGCTTAGAATGGGAAAGTCACGGTTTAAGTTTACCTCCACTCCCTTGAAAACAATCCAGCAAAACGTTCCTTACTTTACTTGGTCGCAAGGAACCCTGATGACTATTCCCCAAATTGCAGGCTAATGGTCCATCCAAACAGCATTCAAGCTCTATGCAAAAGCTTCCAGATTCCAGGCAAGCCCTGGTCCAACCAACTAGCATCAAACCAAGGGGCACCAAGCAAGTTTTGCGTTTCCACGTCGCACAAACAACACCCAAACTGGCAACACCCCCCAACCCGAACTGGAAATCATGAGGATTTCCATTTGCCGACCAAGCGAAACCTTGGGAGTTGTATAAAAAAATGTGGGCGGAGTTAGCAACACTCATTTGAGCAGTGCCCAAAGCTCGTTCCACGTCCATCGCCATACCGATAGAAACAAATGGCCTCACTTCCTGAGTGGATTCGCAAAGGGAAAGTCCGCACCTGCCATTTGCCACTCAAATAGTCATCCCAAAAACTATCAAGTCCAGGAACGCGGAAAGCGAATGGCTTTACTAACCGCGTGAAACCAGGTAGTATCCACGAGAATGGCCCCTTTTGGGAACTGAGTGAAGGGTCCAAACCCGAGCTCGCTGGCCTGCGCCGGTCTCTTCGTACTGCATCACAAACCTGGGCTTCGTTCGGACTGACTTGTCTGGGGTATGTTCAGATTCTGACTCATGTTTAGTTCCTGGGCAATTCCTACAAACCTACCAGGAGTCCACACGAAACAGGTACAAAAGCAGCAAATCGTCAGATCCTGACCCATATTTAGACGCTACAATCGTGACCCCGATGCGAATCCGAAGGATTTGTCCCTTATAGGTTGAGTACGTCAAGAAGCCAAGCCAGGGTATGGAGGATTGATCCTGTTCCCCACTCCAGAATACTTCTTGTTTGGGCTCGCTCACCTTTGGGGGGACTTTACGATGAGCTTGCGCATTCGTTTTGGATGTAAGGTTCAAAGGGTGGAACATCCTCACAGGCGCTTGCCTCTTGCAAATTCATCGCTGCCTACCAGAATCCGGCTTGACAAGGCCACCCAAGGATTGGGCAGTCTTGAAATTTGTGGACTCCTTTTGGCATCGATTGAAAGAAACAGCACAACGAAGCACCTGGATGGGGGTTCTTGCAAAGGTGCCTTTCTCCCAGCCTCGGGGTCACCCGAATGAGCCCCGAATAGATTCCGGGGGTACCGCCTGGGCTCGAGAGTTCTCTTCCTATGCGACCCAAAAACGGGGAACAGTGGCAGCTCCACCTGAGATTGTCACTACTCACTTGGCCAGTCCAAGTTTGTTGTTTACCACTAGCATTGCCCAAACCCCAAAAAAACAACGAGCAGCTTGGAAAGGAAGGAACAAACACACTTCACATCCTCCTCCTGCAAACCTGACCTCGGATGTAAGTCACCCATGACCTATTCTAATTACTTGTGCCCTTGGCCCAGATGTCCCACTGACCCAGGTAGGGTTCCATGTGTGGAACAAACACACAAACGGCACAATGTTGCCATTGACGGCTTATCGTTGCCCACGCCAAAATAATATGTTGGCCCATGCTTAACATATGAGGTTCCGAAAAGAACGCTGGTCTTGGAAAACCTGTGCTTCGGGTGACTGGATGTTGAACTTTAACTCTTCACCAAAAACGTTGTGTTGGGGTTCCATTGAACTTTCAGGAGAGTAAGCACCCTATCTTATAGTAATTACCAGCACCCTGGCAAGAACGCGTCCCGCGCCTCTTCACGTCTTCCTTCTCCTTGGAGGCTTCTTCCACCCCTGCCTTCCGAGCCTCGCATCCGACGCGACGGGGGCATGGGGTGGCCACACTCAACTTGGCCCACAAAAAGGCCAATATTATCTGATGTGCTCCATGGTTAGCCCATCCTAAAGTAACAACATGGGCGTGTCTTTTTTGAGGGTACTCCTTGGAGGGGTCCCAAGAAAAAAACACACCCAAATGGATTTGGAGGAGACCTGAGTTTTGCCAAATATGCCATCTCTTTCCCATGGAAGTCGGGATTCGGAAGACTGTCGTCTTGACAAGGCAGGCGGAACAAGGGTAATGGGAAACGAGGATTCATAAACTACCATATTCTTACAGAACTCATGGTAGCTCCTTAGCTCCGTCTTTAAAAACAAATCCGGATACCCCCAGCCCCTATCTCCCTCCCAACCACCAGCTAGTAAACCCCTGGTTTATGTATCGGGGGTGGCAAAAAGCCATGCGGATATGATCGACGCCGCCAGCATTTTTGGTGGGCTGTCTCACCTTGAGTCTGCATGGTTTTGCTTGCGGCCACTGGGTTATTGTGCTTAGGCTCGTGACTCACATATTTTTTGGAGGAATAGCACCCAATAATCCACTGGGTTGATCAGTCCGGACCAAGTTAACATTGGCCATAGTGAGGATTGGGATAACTGAGATTCCCCTCCTTAGAGCCATGGTTCGATCATATCCAAGTAAGTAACTGTCTCACTTGTGGTGGAAGAAGAAGAAGAAGGGGCGAAGCAAACGGGCCTTACTAACCAGGACTTTTTATTTTTGCTCAGTGTCCATTCCTTTTGGGACATGGTTGTGGAAACAAAACCCTTTCAGTGACGCCAAAGTGATTTGGTATTGGTATTGGTATTGGTGGCATTCGTGGGCGCCTAATTCCCCTGCAGATTAACATTCCACAAGCCCTGGTTTTAGAGAATGATGTGTGTCATTTGCTTGAGGCAACCACACCGAACTGTACCCCGAGAGGTCCCCCTCCGTTTGCTTCCAGGGGATCGGCCTGCAGCAGCTTGGAGCCGTCCGGGATGCTGAGCTGCCGCATCTGCAGCTTTCCTCCCGTCTTCCTGGCCAAGCCGGCCCCCCAAATCCCGTGCCGCTCTGGACATGGCACGGGGGACCGAACCTGAAACCTTGCCCCAGCCCAAGGCACTTCGTGCCCCAAAAAAGCCACGGCCTTCGCCCTCCCTTGTGTGTGCCAGTCGCTTCGCGGCGAGCTCGGAAGAATATGTGGTCTGTGCCATGCTTCTTGGCTAGAAGTTGATGGCTCGTTTTACAGGTTGGCTGGGTTGTGGTTCCCCCAAGTTGGTTGGTTGACACATTGTTCGGTTCATTGTCTTTTCTTGGCCGAGTCAAGTGGTTAGACACCTACGACCCGTTGCCTCCCTCAGCCGGGGACTGATGGGTGGGCTATTTTGGGGTACAAAGCTCACTGACCGCGCACCAATGTCCCAACGGCAACAATCCCAAGCCCCCTCATTTCCATGAATGGGCCCAATTCATGGGGTGCCTTTCTGAGCCCACTGCTTCCAGGCAAGCCCACAAAAGCAGGTTCCCCTTGGTCACCTATAGTGGCTTGCCTGGAACTGGGGTGTCCTTTCTGGGCGTGTCTCCCAAACGCCCGCACGCACTCCGTTTCGGATTCGAATCGCAACGCCGGCAGATTCGCTTCTGCAGGAGGTTGAACTGACCCATGGGCATCTCCTGGCGAAAGGAGCTGAAAGCACAGGGACCAGAGCAAGTGAAACCTGAATTCAGGGCACGGTTTTGGAGGACTTCCTGTTTCAGCTCCATGTTAGCTGAGAAAACAACGAATTCTTCTTCACAGGTAATTACTTAAGCAAATGTGTTGGGGTCTGTCTGAAAAATACAGCAAGAAAAGCGAGGTTCCCTTGAACTTGTGAAACGGACGGGGCAATGTCGACCCGGCAATAGCCCCCCCGGCTGATGTTGATGGGGCCGCTTTTCGGGGAGCTGAACTCCGCGAGGTCTTGAAAGATACGGGGCTCGGCATTGCTACGTGCCACAAAAATGATGCCAAGATGGTTTAGAATGGTGTTGAAGGTTCGGCATTGGGTCACAGAACACGCCTGATACTAAGATTACACACCCGAAGGGAAATCACGGCTCCCATCCCCAGGGCTTCAACCGCGTCGGTCCCCAAGCTGCTCGGTCTTCTTGGCGATCATCGTGGGCGGCGGTAGCTCCGACCTCGGAAGCCACAGCTGTGCCCGGCTTGGAGCTGGACATTTCTTGGCGAATCTTTTGGATCTCCACGTTTAATTTATCCAAAATGGGAAAGCCAAAGGGTGAGCTCCAGTTGACTCTCCAAAAGGCCTGTTCAAAACATACCACTTGGAGGCCCCAAGGAGGTCCCAAGTGCTGCTTTCGAGCAGTACACACACACACACACCCTGCGCGTCTTTTGGAACGGGAGCATGATCCAAAGCCTCTGTCACAAGCACGTCTTTTCACTGGAAAAGGACAACAAGAGGACCCAAAGCCAATGTTCAACCCACGTGGGTGGTCATATTTGGAGACTTGGCAACTATGGGCATCTCGGCGCACAGTTGCGAACCGCTGGTACGAACCGCTGGCTAATGGCTGAATCAATCACCGACTGTTACACAATGATTTGCCACCATGATTTGCAAACAACCACTTTGGGCCAACATGGGGCCAATTTTTGTTTGTTCTGTTGAAGGGGCCTGGACAACTAGGTGTGGGGGGGGATAGGGCCAAAGCAGGGTTGGACAAAAGCTCAAAAGCAAATCCAACTGGTCCTCCGGGCTAATTTTGGGATGGTGGCTCGCCTTGAGAACTGAACCCAAGTGCACGGAACCCTCTTCAGGCCCCTCATTTTTCGAGCCCGTTGATTCAAGGGGGGCGCAAAACAAACATCTGCAAATTGGACAAAGGCCGGGTCAGTTCGCAGTAAATGGTCAACGGTCCCACGACCTTTCCCGGGCATCCTTTACTGATTCATGCCTTATACATGGCCATGGCCAAATCATCATGTATTGTTTGAATATCGAATTGCTTCTTCATGAATTTGTTCAATCATTGCTTTCTGTTATTGGACAAAGTAAGGAAGAGGGCACCCTGTGACCAAACAACTCACAACATATTGCGAAATGGGATGAATGGGCCAGAATCCGCGGCGCCGGTCGTATCAGCCCAACGCGGTAAGCTCAATTTTCCCAAGGCGCACATGGAACTGAAACACTGCTTCAGGCCCAGCACATTTGGGGGTAACCTGGATCCTACAAACTGCCAGTTACGTGGTAACATTTCAAAGGTCAAAGAGTGACAAGCTCCAAAATGTCCCAAACCTCCAGTGCATGTCGAGGCAAGAAACCCCCTCCAAAAGTGAAAGGGCATATCCCCGACAGCCCTCGAAGCCCTGGAACTTCCGGAACCTTCCCAGGAAGCTTCCCCGAACCACCCCCCAAATTAGTTGGGCAAAGACCCTAAGCTTTCAGCAGTTCGTGGCCCTCTGCACACGGAAATCATGTTGTCTGATTCATATTTGTCTGATTCATATTTAGCCGAGCGTAACCTTAAAACACATGTGGAGAGACCACAATTTTGGAAAGGGGCAAAAGCAACCGGAGAGCCAAAAGTGGCTGAGGGCTCGGCAGTATTCTGGGAGCGTTCCTCTCTTTCTCGAGGGAATCGATGAGGATCTGCTGGACCTAAGTTCTAAACCCCCACAAATGCTCCTCAAGGGTGAGGGACAACCGATTTTGGCGACATTTGACCCTGCGCAAAATGTGACTGTCTGCTGGTTAGTTGGGGAACACACAACCTGCTAAACGTTACAGGTGAAAGATCCGACCGCTGGCAGCCAAGTAATCATCACCTCAAGCAAAGGGAGGGTGGTGGATTTTGGGGTGACCTAGCCTTTTGCAGAGAAAACGCAAGGAATTGACTTTCAACGCCAGGAATTGAACTTCGACCCGCCCCAATTCCATCTGTTTCAGTGGGGATGGCTCTCGCCGGCAAGGTCTGGGTTTGGGGGATTCACCTCGACCTGCAACCCGTCTATACACAATCTCTCTTGCAACCAAACGAAAACAGAAATCAATGGGGGAGGTTTCTTTCGTGGTGCTTCCCCCACGCAGCGCCTCCTTGTCGAAGTCGTCCTCCGCCGCATGCCTCACGGGCCGTTGGGGCCCCGACCCCTGGCCACATGACTGCTGAGGAAGAAAAAGCGGAGAGCTCACAGGAACTGATGCGTTCAGCTGTACTATAGCCACTCTGCGGAGTGAAGCAGGAGCTCCACGAATGGCTTTGGCTCCCCAGGTGCAGGGGTAGCTCATATGGGCGAAGGCAGCCATTCTGCAAACTGCGCCCCTCAAGATTAGCCCTGGAAGCCAAGCAGATGCAATTTCAGAGGAATCCTATTTTGGGGAACCCCCTTTTGGGATTTCATGGTTGCCGGTAAAAGGGTAGTTTTATCGACATGGTCCATGACAGAGATCCACTTTTTCTTTGTGGCAGTCGGCAAGGAACACAAATATGGATCCCCTCTTCCTCCACGTTGTCTTGATTTCCAGCTCCATCCGGGTAACTTGATGGCAGCATTGTCCTAAGTCTTGCGGCTAGCTCCTGCTTGCTGAAATAGAGAAACAAGACATGAACACCGTGCGTTGCCCGGGAAACTGGTCATTCAACTTGAGCCCGTCTTGTGTCCCCTTGCTTCAACAGATGCGGCTGCAATGAGCAAAACGAACACCTGTGTGGTTGGTTGCCCACCAAACCCAAAAAAAGGCTTGGACAAAGGAATGCATGTATGTTGCACAAGGAACTGGACGACAAATTCTGGCTTCATTCTTCTACCAGATTCTACCATGATCAAAGTCACCCCCTCAGTGGCGGGTTAAAGGGACATAACCCCACTTTCTGACTTTGATAACCCCCAGAAACCGTCAAAATAATGACCCAGAAAGTCGCAAGTGGCTTCCTCAAGAAGGCGGACCGCGGACCCTCCGAGCAACTCGGAAACCCGGCTTCTGCCCTTCGTCTCCACGGTCGTACCTTGGAGACTGGCCGAGTGCAAAGACGATCGCTGCCTTTTCAGCACCACACCCCCTGGAAAAGGAGCACATCACACGTCCCGAGCGGATGCCACACCACAAGTGTAAAAAAAAATGCATTTCACTCAACCCACCTACACCCAAAAAATAAAAACAGTCCGTAAATTAATTCTGACTGAGAGAAGCCTGGAACAGCACAACTGCCGCAACTGCCCCCCAAATATCAAGAATCCATCGGTTCCTTCTGTGGGTTTTGCTTTTTAGGGGTTTTTTGGCAACCATGGTAGCAGTTCGGCTCTGAGGACAAGACGCCTCCTCATCATCATCTGATTCGGTCGAGTCCTCCTCCCCCTCGGACTCCTGAGAAAAGGGACGCATAAGATCACATAAGATTGGACAATGTTCATTCAGATCCAATGGCACGCTTCAGGCAAGTGGCTTGAAACAAGCATTTGACCTTGGCACACGCCTCGACTCTGCCACAACCGTCCGTCATTCGTCTCCGCAAGGAAACCCTTATATATACCAAGTGCAATGCTACTGTGTTCATTCACGTGACATCCCAAGATCTACTCTGTAAGCCGCAGTTTCCCCCTTTTGAGCGCCAGGGAGTTACAAAGGGTTTTGGGAATGAGCCGGAAGGGGATCCCTGTGAATGTCGATTCACAGGACCCTGAGAACTCGACTCGTGCGAATCGATCAACCCGGCCTCGGAGGACTCATCCTGAGAGCTATCGGAGCGAGCGGCTTCGCCCATTGACTTTTTGGTTCTACCAGCATGGTTCTGAATCAGCCCTTGTGGGAATGGGTTTTGGTCGCTCCGTTCGTAACAGCTTGGATTGCAATTCGCGAGGCCGGACAAGTGGAGTGATGCTCAGTCACGTCCTTGGTGGGTTGGCAAAAAATGTTGAAACTGTGTGTGTTACCACTGAAATGGGTTCCGAAACATATCAAGTCCAGAAAAAACTGGAAGTGAGTTGCAGGGGAAACCACGAGCAAACCTACAATTCGAAGCTCCCCAATTGTAGGACACCCTCAAATGGTCGGAAGGTTTCTAGCTGGTGAGACCCACTGTCTTTTCTGATGTCACCCTTCATCTGCGTCTTTGGAACCCACTTGGAGAAGAATGAGGAGGTTACAAGAGCAGGAGCCACTTTCCATCTGAAAGGGCTCAAACTGGCATTCTTCTGAAAGACGAGGGCATGAAAGTCCACCGGCCCACGACTCTTGTCAAAACACCGGCTGCGCATTTTCCACATGGACGGTCCACCCCCCTCCCAGACAAAATGTGGCTCCGTGCGGCCTGTAAAAGCTCATGGTTCAAACAGCCAAAGTGGCAATGCCCCCGTCAGGTCGTCAAACGTCGTCAAACGCACTGCAGAGCTACTCTGTACCGGGTACGTCCAGCCGTTGAGGGCAGCCCCTTGCGCGCTCCGGAGCTGCTCAGTTCCCTTCGTGCTGTTCGACGGAGGTTTAAAAAGTCATGGACCTCAAAGGGAACCAACCCATGGGGGCCTGTGGGCAGGGGGCCATCCCATTTGAGCCAGGCAACGAAAGCAAGGAGGCTTCAATCAATGCCCTTACATGAAGGTGGCCCAAAAAAAAGGAGGGTACCTACCCATTGCTATTGTATGGATGGGCTTGTGGGGCTCCGTCCATGAGGCTTCAAGGGTTCTGGATCGTTTGCTTCCAGTTGCTGAGCATTGCATTCTTCCCCTGTAAAACCTACAGGGAATAAATACCGTCGAACAAACAACATATGCATCAGTCATGACAAGCTTCATGCGAGCCGTCGGTCACCGATTGGAAGATTCGTGAGGCATGTCCTTCCCCCCGGAAAAGCTGCTCCAGGCCACGAGGCCTACCCTGGACATGTGTTGCAAGCACTGGTGGCGCCGGTGGCACTCTTGTTGGGAATCTACAGAGGCATCCCACCCCCTTTGGGTGCTAAAAGCTGCGAGGGACAAACTGAAATTACAATCCACTTTTGCGTTCCTGCGTTCCTTCGAACAACATAACAGAAAGGGGCCAATGCATTGTGGAGAGGCGCCGTGTGTTTTTACACTGCAAAGTCTTGACACCTGCCCAGCTGGGGCCTCCCGCCGAGCCGCTTTCCTCTTCTTCGGTACTCTCATCCTCATCCCCCTGCGGCGAGCTATCGCGTGACAAGTTCTGGTTTCTTCCTTTTGGTCCGGAACGGGGGCCTCCCATTTTCTTGGAGACAACCGGGCTATGCCTGGAGCCAAGGATGCAGTTCGCCCGCTGCCGGCTGTTGATCCCACTGCACCACATCCAACAAAAGCACGCCTCAGCCTCCGATGAAACCCATTTTCGGAGATGGGCCTGGAGGTATGGACCACTCAAATCCCAACTAAAATAGCCTAAAATGGGTGGTGCACCTACCCCAAAAATGGTACCAATGGTTGTGACCCACAGCCATATACTATCATTTGGAGGTATCTACCCCGTATATGTTGTGTAAAAAAGAAACGCAACCAGCGCCTCCTCGTCCTCATCTCGGCCATCGGCTTTCTCTCCTGAAGCCACTCCGCTCTGCCGGCAAAGAAATCGACAGGACTGGGATAATCGCTGGCCCCAAAAACCACGTGAGTGAACCAACTGGCAACCACCAAGCCTGGTAGATTGCCTTAAATCCCACTCTTACATCACCAGCTTCAGTAAATCGCCTTAAACTCCAAGTCTTCCCACCTTGGCTCCCTCGAAAAGAGGAGCGCGCCCGAAGCAGCTTTGACCTTTTGAGTCCAAAACTGGAAGCCAAAGACGCGTCGGCGGTCAGAGGTTTGACAGCCGGCAAATGCAAGAGCTTCAAGCAGAATCGCCCTAAAGACCGGACCGGCACAAGGGGATATGAGAAAGAAACAAAACCATACCAAGATAGCGTCGAGTCAACCAATTTTCCACCTTTGGGTTCTGATCATCTCCCAATGGCCTAGGCGCACCAAGCAGACATCCAGCGGACTCGATGACCCGCGACCCGCCAAGCGCCCCCAAGATGGCCCACGGCTGCTCCAGGGGCTCCTCCGACGTTGAGATCCATCTTTTCCTTGTCCAGCAGCGAAATCACCGCCTGGGGGAAGACTTTCTTACGAGGGACTGGTAGGAACACGCCAGTAGGCCCCAAATCTCATGGTTGCTCCAAAGATGGACATGTCGAATTCTTTTCGGGTCAGAGGAACGAAAGAAAATCCTTTAAATGGTTGATGATTGAAGGGACGAACGGGCTTTCCCCCGCAGCAAAAGTGGAAACAGGGAGAGAACTCTAGGCAAGGGGTTGCATTGAAGCAGCCATGCCCTATGAAAAAAAGCCCTGGGTGTGGAATAGGGGGGGTCTGACTGTCCTCGACTTGTTTGCGGGTGTCACTTATCTGTCAAGACATGGGCGATGGCAAGTTGGCGGGGCCTTCGCTGCTTAGCGGGGAATTGGAACGGCAGAGCCAGGCGGTTCGCCTTCAAGAAATGTCTCTGTGTAATCCACAGCAAGCAAGTGAGTTCTTTGTTTTGAGGGAATACTTGGACCAAAAAAGGAGTGCGGACATGTCCCGAACTCACCCTCTGGATGGTGTGACTCCGCGTAGTTCTCCCTTTCTGAGTGGATTGGCCGAGAAAGAAGCGTTGTACTTTTCACGCGCACTGTTGTCTTTTCAAAAGGATGGCAAGTCATTGGGCCCGGGGGGGAGGAAGGGGAGGGAGGGGAGCCCAAATTGGTTCTTATTCAGACCTTACTAAATAAGCCCCTCCCCCAAACCCCCCAAGCCCCATGAACGTCCAGGAACTCCTTCCATTTGCTTAAGCCCTCTAAAAAAAAACAGTAATGATAGATTCCCTTTAAAACTAACAGGGGATAATAAAGAATATTCTTAAGCAAATGGAAGACTCAGGAAGCGAGATTTGGGTGCAGGGAAACTCCGCGCCTCGTTCGCCTTGGCCTTGAGCTCGGGGTAAACCAAACGCGGCCTGGCGGGGGAAAGAAGAAAAAGCGCTTAAGCCAACCCGGCGTCCCTCATGGGTTTGTCTCGAAATGGGGGGGGACCCCAAAAAGATGCCAGGCCCCCCCGATGGCCGGTAATTGGCGTCCCGGGTGAAGTGCCGGCAATTGACCAGCTCTTGCTTAAAAATGGTTTTGTAGTCACATAGGTTTGTTGCCATCATCAAAGTGCAGTCAAAAGTCACTTTGTTTGAACCGTCACTTCAGGATACTAGAGGGGTTGGGCTGGCATGTATGATCATTGCACATGCAACGCGCGGCGGGGGGGGGGGGGGAGGGGGGCGACGCGCTGGTGACACGCTCATATCCCCAAAAAGTGACCGTTCAACGTACATGTGCCGGCAATTGGCCACCCCCCGACACGCCGCCTCAAACTTGCCCTCCAAACCTCAAATTTGCTGCTCCCCCCTTTTCCCTGCAACCCCATTCCAAAGGACCCTGAAAGGTCACTTGTATCATTGCACAAATTGCACTAAGTACAGATGAGTGATACTTGATAGCAAATTGCTTTTGCAGTCACTTAGACAAAAAGTGACATCGTTTTGCCCAAAATCGATGTGCCGGCAATTGGCCAGCCATTGGGGGGTGCGTGCTGGTGGGTGGTGTCGCTTTAACTACCCTTTGAACCAACTCGAAAAAGGTACCCTCAAAAAAGACACACCCGCATCCTGGTGGGTCAAAACATCCATGCGAACCCCACCCCTCCCTCCAAATATAGAACAAAAGAGCCATTGAACGAAATCCACTCGAGTTCAAAGCTTCTCCCTTGGTTTCGCTTTAAAACAGCCCAAGCAAGGGTGATGCCGACGGCATGATGATGAACAGGTAAGCTTTGGGCACCCCCCCAAAGGGACACCCCAAGTGGAGTACGTACGCAGGCCTCTCCTTTCATGAAGCTTTTCAGGGTTGTGTCTAGACGAGAAGCCGTGTTTGTTTCGTGTTTTTCTTGGGGGAGGGACTGCTTTTGAGGCAACCTCCAATGGACCCCGGCCCCATGGACGGGGTTGGTTGGCCTCTGACTCAAAATCGAAAGATCCGGCCTGAGGCGCTCCAAGGTGTCGTAGACCATGTTCATGAACCGCTGCGGGAGCTCTCCCTGACGGGGACTGTTCTCGGTTGCCTGTTAGGAACCCAGAAATCAAAGGCCGATTTTTGTGGCGGTGACCAAACATGGATCAAACAGCGGGAAACTAACAGCAGGTGTGCTTTGGTGCTCCGTAGGCTCTGGATTGTTGAATGAGCCCCAGGAACCTAAACCAAGGGCGAGCTCAAAAAACCTCAAGCCAGTGAGGTCGCATTGATCTGACCTAAACAACTGCTTCCGCATGAACCCAGCCGTGCCAGGGAACACTCGAGCTGGGAATCCAACAAAAAGTAGTATGCGAATGCATGGATCCGTGTGGCCCCCCTCCGAAGACCCCACGCATATCCATCAAACGGGTTACCTGTAACCTTGACGCTTACTAGCTAGTTTCGAGGTGTTTCTTGGTTGCTTTCAGAAGTGTCTTCTATATGGTTCTGTCAAATGCTGACCGGCTGAGTTGCCTGAGAAAGCCTGAACTCTTTGGTGGTAAAGTGACAGAGAGAGCATTGCAACAAGAAGCTTAGATTCAATAGCTAGCTCACGTATCGCTTTATGTTCCCATCATCTACTGAGCCTTGTCTGCATCACATCCCAAAAAAGATTTGCTGTTGGGATTCAATACGCGGATGTGACAACTTCCTGGATGAACAGGTGTGACGGGCTCAACGACCAGCCTATTCCCAAGCACCCATGACCGCTTTTGATGGCGCCTTGCTGTGGACATACCGGATGAAGAAGGTCAGGAAACGATCCAGCTTCTGCTTGGACTAGGCAGTGTGGCAAGCGATCGCCACCCCAAAGCGGACTAATATCATGAGCCCACAAACCAAATATACCATCTGGAAAGTGTAAGAAGGGACCCCCAAACGAATATCTCGCTCTTGATTTTTCGGGGATGGGGATGGCACGGGATTTTGCTGGAACTACACCTTCATCCCGGGACCCGAGCTTGCTTTATCTTCAGCGTGGATCTCAAACAAGCTCCCAACGACATTTGGGTTTGTCTCCCATGGGGAGCCCCAAACTGCAGCCCTAAAAGGACCCAACACCATACACATTCCCCACGGAAGATGTTTTTTCGCGCAGAGTGGGATCCGAAGAAAGACAAATCTGAACTGAGCACTGCAACCCACACAAATCCCTCGAAGTCCGTAGTTGCCTTTTTGTCTATGACGCAAATCCAACCAACTCTGAACTAAGTGAGCCCACCCGGAACCTCCATTGATTCAGAGGAACCTCCGTTGATCCATGGGTATCGCAAAATTCTGATGTTACAAAAGCTTGCCTAATCACCCCGGATTAGTAAACCCCGTCCTTTTCCTAGGGGCCGGAAGATGCCAAAAGTATTGCCCGCCCCTCGAAGTTGCTCGTTTGACGTGTTGAGGGCAAATTGCTGGACTCACTTGGCGTCCCGGAGAGCACGGGTCAAAACAAGCCAAAACTTGCTCTTTCCGAGGGGCAGGGAAGCCCCACAAACTGGGAACGTGAGGCCCTCTTTGTGCTTCTTGAATCTGCACAGCCGAATTTCGCTAACCCGACATGGACTCATCCTTTGCGCCATCACCTCGAAGCAAGGAAGCCTCCGAGGTGAGCTAATGATCTCCCGCTGCAATTGACCTCTGGCATAGGTGCTTTCATGATGCCCACTTGCGGGCAAGCTCGAGCTCCTTCTTCCATGGTTCTCGGTGACGTACATTTGAAAGCACGAATCCAAAGCACGAATTGTGGGCTCCGCGTTACAAAAGGGCTGGGCTCCTTTGAAGTCGCTCTTAAAGACGGGGCGAAAGCAAATCGGACGAGCCAAGCCTTCCGGCTTGATTCAGCACCCAAAACCCAGTCGACTCGTGCGTGCACTGCTCTGGCTCTACAGGTGTTCACCTGAAGCAACACGTTGTGCTGGGCTCTCCGGCGGCACCGCGGTCAAAGTAGTGGCCACAGGTCTCCAGAAGCACGCACACCTCGCCCAGAACACGAGAAATGAACGTCAGCCTTGATTTGCAGGTTCCTGGTTTTGGTACCTTTTTGTGGTTTTAAAGGGTAACAACGGGAACCCCATGAATCTTGAGGGTCACCTTTGTTTGAGACAAACCTATCCCAAGACAAGGTCATGGGGCACGGAGGGGGTTCCCTGACAATGGGGTGCAACAATATGAACTGGCGATAAATTCTTTCTTTTTGGGGGGGTAGGCCACCCGACAACAGGAGTGCCCGAGGGCAAAGACGGGTCTGGTGTTTATCAACTTTTGCCCAACCCGTGTGAAGCGGTCCCCCAGTTCAATTCCCGGCCCGCTTTGACCAAAGCAATCCCTGAGAGGTGGATGTGACAATCAGAATCCTGCCTCAAAACCCAGGGTGTTAAAGCTTCATTTCTCTTCGGGCAAGAGTTGCGTCCCTGACACATTATATGAACTCGAAGTTTGAGAGGTAAGACATAACAACCACACAAGACCACGAGTCAAGTCATGTTTCTACCGATAACTACCTGGAACAGGTATGTTTGTATATGTAAGTAACTCTTGGAAAATAGAACAGACATCGTCTGATAGTCTTTATGACGTTACCAAATGGGTGTGTGACTATGACTTCTTTAGCGCTCCTTTTTAGGTTGGCTCAATGATGCTTAAAAGGAGGCCCAGAGGCAATGGTCCGTT